CTGAATCCCTCTCTGAACCCATCAGTTTGAACAAAAAAAAAAGAGAGAGATAAAAATTTGGCCATAAAAAATGACTATAAATAACGCGCGTGAGAAATTAACATTTGGTAAAAGTGAGCAAGAATTATAAGGAAAGAATGCCAGTGTTTGTGGTAACTGACGTTTGCTTTGCAATTGTGGCCCAGGACATGGGGGTCCGCATGTCGTGTAATCCGAGAGAAGCAGAAGGCAGTTCACGACAGCATTTCGTGAAGCGAATGCGCAATCTATGTTTGGCGCTAATGCATGGTATGTACAAATTCATTAACAATGCTAAAATTAAAGTGTAAATATGGCAAACATATTGATTTTACGGTTCGTTACCAGTTTCAAATTGTATCCGTATCGTACAGGACGCTTTTTTTGTTGAAGTTGTTGAAGTTCATTTATTTGTTTAAGCAGGTTGATTAATTGGCAGCTGTAATAGCTGATGTGGACCTGCTGTCCTAACCCACCCATCCCACCCCAGGGGAGGACATCCATCACACAGTAATCTCGTGTGTGGGAAATTAACGTCTCCTGCCCCAACCCTGCAGGAGACGGGACCTCCATTTATTCGTCCCTATCAGAGAAGACTAGAATATCTAACCATTTCGTGATGTTATAGAAAGGTAGTAAATTCTTCTCAATTACTTTAAGACCTTGAGTGTTGGTCCGGCCGGGGCTCGAACCCTCGACCTCCCGCACTACAGTCCAGCGGTCTATCCATTGAGCTAACCGGGAGGCGGTTCGTGTCCGTAATATCGGGGTGTCCTTAAGGCGAGAGTTGATTTTTAGGTACTGTAAGCTTTCGTTGACCAAAATTTTGATTGCTGATCACTATGCCAAATGTAATTTAGCTTGAGATGAAATATTAAAGATAGCATGATCTTGTATCCTTACTTAAGAATTTTTCTCTTGTATATTACACTAGCCTGAACAAGTTCAAAGAATTGATGCCAAATTTCTGGGGAAGCCAGTGGAAATGGGATCATTATGCGAAAAAAATAGATATAGGTCAAGAACTTACGAGCCTTCATTACTCTGAGTTTTCGCCTGCGATGGAAAAACGCTGTTCTGGGTTTAACTCACTTGAGACATAAAGCAAGAAAGGAAAGAAAAATTTCGCTTGTTCTGAATGCTCAAAAACCACTATAGGCGAAAGAAAATAAGATAGCCGTGTTCGTGGAAGCATTACCATGAGCTATTTTTTTTTTTTATAGCTTTTTCCGCTTCTTGTGGTTGAAAAAGACTGCATAGTAAAATTATTATGTTAGACCATATCGTGTTGCGTGAACTCACTTGGGAGTCAGCTGATTGATCTTGCCTCGATCTCATTACCGGTCCAAAAACGCGGGAAAATTGTGTCACGTGAACAGATCAGCCGGAGAAGACGACAGCATGGCGGTAAGTGAGTTGTTCGCTGTTGGAGAAATTGATTTTACTTTGGTAAAGTAATGCCCCATTGCCTTGATTTACCACCGATTCTCATTGCTTTCAGAGTTAAAAGCTCAGGTGTTTCAGCTTGTAACTGCCCCGATCGTTAATGAAGCAGTTAGCAAGCATGCTTTCTCCTTGCAAAATTGTTCGATCGATCGTTCAACTTCATAACATTCGAAGACACGACTGATTACTTCCAAATTTAAATCAGTATAGCTTTTGATGTTAACTGTGTCGCTCTTTCCATGAGGAAACTGCTTTGGCACAGAGTAAACTGGCCAGACAAACACAAATGTCTTTCTCCTACTCAACCGAGCGATTATGTATACAAAGTTGTTAAGGGTTTCTACGTTTTCGCGCAGGAATTGCGTAGTTCTTTGATAGATCTTTCCTTTTTGCCATTGTTTTTTCAGAAATAGAGTCCTCGATTGAAGTATCCGATCATGTCACGAGTCGAAGAACAAATTCCTGTTGCAAACTCGGGTGAAAATGTTGAGAAGCAGAAAGGAAGGTTTGCGTATTTATCAGTATTTTTCTAAACCTTTGTAGGAATCTTCAAGTAGTATTGGTGTACCCAGTAGTCCTCGCAGAGCAGATGGCTTGACCTCAAGTCCAGGAAGGGATCTGCCGCCGTTTGAAGATGAAACAGATGCAGTCCTTGGCAATGATGAGGAAGGAGAGGAAGAAGAAGGAGAAGAATTGTTTGGTGATCGAATGGAACAGTAAGTTTCTTTGAATCGAACTGGTTTAAGGGTTTCCAAAGTTAGATCTATTGACTGTAGTTGTAAGAAGTTCATCCAATGTTCAGAGCCTTGATAAATTTCACAAGATCTTGTGCATATAGTGGAAAATTTTAACCCTTTCAGACCTGAAAATTTGATGTTAATTAAATCAAATCATATCCTGTAGCGGTTATTGTTACTTACCTTTCTGTTTGACAATTCATGGATGTTGTAAAGAGAAAATCATTTTTGATCACATCCAGAACAAAAAGTTTGATGTGAACCTGTGCCTTAGATACTAGTTGGGCCCCTGTTACCAACTGAGCAACAGGTTTTAGAAGGTTATTTTTTTTGCTTGTAGATGACTTTGGGTACATAAAGAAATAACCAATATTTTGACTTGTAAGTGATACTTCTAAAAATAAAAAATTGTTAAAACATTTCTTAAAATCATTTTAAGATTAAAAATTTGCTAAGATATGAGACGACGACGTTTTGACGTTAGCTAAACGTCATTATCAAGTCAAAATATGTTTGTGAGTTCCAGTCTATAAATACTTAAAAAACAATAGTCAATTAAAAGCTGTAACTTGAGAAAAAGGTGATTAAAAATATTAAACAAAAAGTTTCGCACGTAGGGAGTCTGTCTGGATATATAAATTAGGCATAAGATTCTTAATGAAGATTATTTCAAATACTAAATGATCAAATTTGCACTGGCACTTTCTTAAAACTGTGAATTGGTTTTCTTTCAAGAGGTTGTTGTTACTGTGAGTTTCTCAGAAACTTCTCACTGATTGCTGAATTTTTGTACTCAGCAATGGGTTAATGAAGCTGTTGGGCTGTGTAACCAACTTAATCTGCATCACACAGGAAAAAAGATAAAAGTGATACTTCAAGTCACCAAATGATCTTCAGTGCATTTCTAAAGTTTAAATCATGGAAAAAAATGAACACTGAAAAAAATCCCTGCTGAAGCCTTGACACTTCCACTTGCAAGATCTTATATGTAATTCTCTTTGCTGTCTGCTATACAATTCTTACCATGTTAGTTGGGTGAATTTGTGATTGGATCAACCAATTATCAGTTTTATGATAATTTTCTTTTTTCTCATTACGTGACTGCTTGATGTTATATTGATATTGTAAGGAGAAATTCTGTCTTGATAACTCACGGGAGTTGAAGGTTTACAAAGTCATTGTCATATCCACAAATCAAAATGTGATTTTTATCATTTATACCATTTCCAATCTTCTGTTTTAGCAGATGAGATGGGAAAACTATTAATACCACTTATTTTCTTTAAATAAACAGAGATTACCGTCCAATCCCAACGCTTGATGTCTATGACCCTGCGGCATTGGATGATGAGGACTTTGATGAGATGACACCGGAGGCTCGACAGGAAGCTGAGCGCCTCATGAGGAAGAGGGATAGGGATGAAGCAGCTGCTAGAGGCAGACTTCATAGGGGACTTCTTTACGGTACAGCCTTGTTATTTCTTTGAAGAAAAACAGTCTTGTTCCAGCTAGCTTACAGACCAGAGATTAAGAAATCACATGTGAGATTCAGACATAGGGACTGAACCAATTAAGCATCAGTATACATATTCTCCATACTGTTCTCTATGCATTTCCGAAGGTGCTGACAAGGAGAATTTGTTTAACAATCATGAGCTTCTTTAGTTGGTGATCATTTCCTTTATTCTCCTGACCTCAATGTGTGATTCAGTGGTGATATTGTAAGGAGAAATTAGTTGTTAATCAGTCTTAGAGGTCAAAGAGGTTATTGAAAGAATCTGAATACTAGAAGGGTGAGAGTTATTGTCATATGTAAAAAAATTTTTTTTTTTAATTTTGTAGAATTTTTTTTTTTTTTGAGCGAGTACATATTTGCACCTTCCTGAATTGAAAGATTGACATTTTCTGGTAAAAAATGGACAAAATTTACCCATGTATGTCCCTTTCTACTGTTCCAATACCCCTTCCCTCTGCTAAGCCAGAGTATGTCACTTTTGTATCGTATTTGCATTTTTTATTTCCTCCACTTCAACAAATTAGAATCTAATGAATAATTGCAAGAAAGATAAGAAGGTGGAGAATGGCATGGTGTAGCATTAGCTAATTAGATGCCCTTTATTTTAAATTACATTTATTCATATTGGACATGTGATTTTATTTGTTTGTTGTCTTTTGTAAGCGCCAGGCGCCACCCCGTGTGGGGGACTGGATCGAGATTAAAATGGTTGTGTTGTGAGCACATGGAATTAATGAGTCTGGAGTGTGTTTTTTAAACTGGGACAGTTAGAATAATTTCCCAAGCCGAGGAATCTCCACATACAGTAAAGAAGCAATACAAATATAAGAGAAGGAATAAGAATCACACTGTAAACAACAAACATTTTAAATAAAACATGATCTTAGGAAGACATTCATTAGTGCTGAGAAAGGTAATGTAAGAAAAGTGCTCATTTAAAAAAAATTTTAATGAACTTTCTCTCACACATAGATATAGGAATATCATTCTAGTAGTAGTGCCCTACAACTATTGAAAAAAATTTCCTTTTATTTATTCTGAAGGGGCTAGGGTTCAGGTGCTGCAAAGATGTATTTCTAGTGACATAATCATGGATCTCAAATACAAAGGACAATGCAAAATTAGAATATTTATTGTCTACAGTGTGATCGCAAAATGGCTGACACATACTCAATTTAATTATGTCGGAAAGCTGTAATGTCACTAAAAAATGTC